AGTACCAGGTTCCCGGTCCCCCCCCCCGGGGACAGCCGTGGCCTACCGAGGGGCACACCTACGGGGACGAGGACGTGCTGTCTACAACACCTTCCGAGCTGCACCACCACCACCACCCATCCCCACCTACGGCGCGTGAGTACCCGTGGCAGGGCCCTGCTGAGGGCAGGGCAGGCTGTGCTGCTGCACTGCTCTGGGTCTGTGTTGGCATCGCCAGGCGCTCGCACATCGGGAACAGGCTGCAGCTCCCGCAGCATCTGCCTGGCCACAGGCTCTGTGCAACCCCCAGGCTGCTGCCCTTGGGGTGACCCATGCGCTCACAAGCCTCCTGTGCCCCAAGGACATTATTCCAGCCAGGATGGTTGGGTTAATGGAAACTCTTGGCACATGCAGTTCTGCTGGCATTGGGCACAGATGTGGCCATGACCATCTGCAGCCGCTCGGTTGCTCCCAGCAGTGATTGTGCTCCACACTCCTCCATCCCTGTGGCATCCTCTGCCCTTGGCTATGCCCTCTACCTGTCTCCAGTCCCTGCCTGGAGTCCCAGACTGGACATGCCCTCAGGGGCCTGGGCAGCCACTCCTCACCCCTCAGCTGCTGAGGCAACCTCCCCCATTCGCTGCCCTCAGCCCATTTCCCCTGTCTGAGAACATGGGCCAGGCTCTGATGCCTCTGCTTCATTTCCAGGGTCGTCTACCAGGATGGGTTCTACGGAGCTGAGATCTACGTAAGTGACACTGTGCCCAGGGCTGGGGCCACGCTGGGGACCCTGTGCTGGTGTGGGGGGCAAGCAACACTGGGTGGATCCATGGTGGGCTCTGCTCCCACCAGCCTCTTCTCCTGGGAGGCAGACAGCATGGACAGAGTGCAACTCCTCTTGAGAGATCTGGGTGGCACCATACAGGGTCCTGTGCCCAGTCCAGTGCCACACCAGCCCCCTTGCAGGGCCAGCACCATGCTGGATTTACAGCCTCGGTGCCTTACACCCGCGTTTAACCTCCATGTCTGAGGAGCCGGCGGCGATATTTCAGGCGGGTGCTGAAGGATTTATCTAACGTGACACCTCATTAAAGCAAGCGAGGAGGTGACATTCTCTCCTCTGGAAATTTAATTTTTTAAGGTTAATGTTTGTGAAAGCCCCTGGGGAATGGTAATGAGGCTGGTGCGT